TTTTTTTTTTTTTTTTTCCCACCCCCCCCCCCCCCCAAAAAAAAAAAAAAAACAAAACAAAACAAAAAATTAAATAAAAAAGAACACCCTGCACTGCTGTGTATATGTGGTGTACTGGGAACCATAGTAAAAACCTATTGCAGCATCCTATATACAATGATATAACTGATTGGCAGAAACTCCATGAAACTGTGCTGCCGGATGTAACGAGAGGTCAAACTAGAAATGCCTGAAGCCTCAACTATACCTGCTTGAAATGGCTCTGCTCCCCCTCAAACGAAATATCTCTGTGACTTTGAAATTCACCGAAGGCTGATGGTCAATGATCCACTCAAACTATGCATCAGAGCGTGTGTTGGGGGGCGGGGGGTTTTGCGTGAGAGAAAGCACATTGATTTCTTAGTTTCATTGTTCATTCTGTATCTCCAAAATTTAACTACTAATATACACAAAAAACAACTTAATTGAATCTAAGACATTTCCATCTTGTCTTCCTCCTCAATTTCCTTCTGCGCTACAGGAGAGAGAGGAGAAGAAGGTGAAGAGAAAGAAGAAGCTGCAGAAGAAAATGAAGTAGAATCAGAACAAGAAGCGGAAAGCCCAATCAACAAGTCAACAAATGCTCCAACTATAAACCCATGGTTCATCTTCCCATTTATCTTCAAGTACCACCCCAACAACTCCTCTAAACACTCCCAATCTTTCAAACCATGACTCTCCACCATCTCCTCCATTGATTTCTTGAAATCCATGTAAGGATTCTCCGACTCCATCGCTAGCGCCACACTCTCCTTAAATGGAAACTCATCTGCTTTTGCATCCACCAAGATCGAACTCGTGCCACCAGGCTCGAAAAACAGCCTCTCTGATCGAACCCCACGTATGATCGTCTCCAATGACTCCCCTGCAGAGTACTCCTCGGATTCAGTTGAAAAGCTAGCAGACTCCGAGGAGTTTGTGAACCAAGACTCCGGTGTTTCGAACCCATCATTTGGAGCGAAGAAGATCGAGTTTACGGTCTTGAACATGTCATCCCCGGCCCGAAACGACATGGTCCTGGGGTGCTTGCATGAGGACCATTGCCATGGATGATCCCTTGCATCTTTGTTCTTGAAGAGAGAAGGGAGCTTCATTTTCTTGCCCATATGAGCTGAATCACTTGTTTTTGGAGCTGGGTTTAAATGACTATTTAGATATGTGAATTGCGTGTGTGTGTTGTGTCCTTGGTTTTTGTTATGAATGGTGATCAGGGGAAGAGCAGGAGGGGATATAAAAGGAGAGGTGAGAGGGAGGTGGAAAGGACATGGGTCTAGTAGGACCTTTCATGTGTGTATTTAATTATAGGTATGAAGAATTTAATGTTGTTAAATGCAGCCTCACAACACAACGAATGATCATTCAAACAACTAATGCTTTAGTTAATCTCTTAATTTATGTTGTAAATTTCTTTTTTTTAGATTTTTTTTTTTTTACAAAAAAGTTTTTAAGTATATATATGTTACAGCTTTTAAACCAAAGATTGTAAACACCATAAACATTTTCCCTCCATAGAATGGTAAATGCAAGGAATATTAGAATAAACACCCCCCTCCAAAAAAAAAACCACTAATTTGCATGGAAGGATCTCAACATTGAAATTGCTAACGATTTGATAAGCAACAATTTCTTAGCATTATCAGGAAAATAATGGAATTAATGTTTTTATAACGTGACATTTTGGACGAAGAGAATACGCACATGTTAGAGTTAGACAACTTTAGTGACATTTTTCATTTTTGTTAGCCAGAAGGAATTCAAAACTCTTAGAGTATTGTCTAATCTTTGCGAGCACATCTAATCCCTTCCTCTTACATGCACCCTGAAAATTACCAATTAGCATAAAATCGAGGGTGGGATCTTTGCAAAGTGAACTGGCCTGTCTACCCATTTGGGTTAACTTAAATGGAACCTTATGGCTCCTGCAAATAAGATTAGATGACTAAACTATGGTATTTGATTTGGGTCCAAACTTGGAAACAGTCAAAAAGTTAATAAAAAAAACTACTTTTACCCAGCTATTCCCAATATGAGGAGTTAGCTTGGCCCTTGAGGGGGTGGCAATGTTTATGCAGCTTTGACCATGCTTTGGGTGGCATGGGATGGGCGCTCATTTACACAGCTTTCTTTGACTATGCTTTAGTCAGTTTACTAACTGAAAATGACCCATTTGGTATTCTATGAAATTCATGCAGACAAGATCAAACTTTCTTATGGAAAAAAAAACCAGCTACCCCACGATAAGGCCTGAATCATGTGAGCTATTTAAGAAGGAACAGTAGAAAACTCACACACATTGCACACACTCACATAATGTCCTTGCCAAAGTATTTAAGGGGTGAGATTGTGATCTCAAGGGGCAGGCCTCTAGTTTACTATCTTACGCTTTCTTTTCTCTCTCCAATTTCCATATTCTGAGTTCTGTCCATTAAAATATATGCTAATGTAAGGCTCCATGACCATGTCACAGATCACAGTCTCTTTCTCTTGGACTTTTATGGCAGTGACTAAGACATCGCAACTGTTACAACCTGCTCAGTTTTAATTTAATGGTAGTCAGATGTTATAAATAATATAACTGTTATCGTTCACCACAGAGCATATCTCTCCACCCTTTTTTAAGCTCATGGAAGATCTGAACTCAATTAAGGGACACTGCTAGAGGCATTTGCATCGACTATACCAACACCTTTGGGTGAGAAAAGTGTACACTAACAAGTAATTTATCACCATATTTGGAACAGAAGCCATTTCAATCATGTGTTTTTTAGATTTATAATAATAACGTAAACATCGAATGCACAAAATCATATACAACTACCTATTTGGGTTAAACATGGCTTTTATGTGGCTAAGGGAACTCAAACTTGAGATGTACTAAATTATAATTTGCCTGTTAGTTAAAAAATTGAAACAACACGCGCGGTTTTACAAGTAAATTATCGCTAAGACATGTTTCTATTCTCTATTGAGACAATTATCTGTACAATGCCATGTGCATTGCCCCTAATAATCCACTTCTGTGGTACAAAAACAATCAACCACCCTAAGAAAGACAACACAGAGGGTCCTTCCAACTGTTGAACTCATCAATTCATGCTGGAGAGCAATGACAATTGATGGGGGGCCTCCAATCATATCACAACCATACTGTTTACCAAATCTTAGCATAGTTTGTGAATCACAAAGCTTGGTGCAGGTTTGTGCACACGGGGCATGTTTCTTCACATGTAGACAAATGGCATAAGCTCAGTTGACATAATACTTCTTCTCCTGCCAAAGATTTTAGATTTTCTTTATCCAATTGTGTTCCCAGTGGAGTGCTTACCCTTACCCGGTTGGTGATGACTGCATCAGCAATTAAAATTAAATCCCCCCAAAGTCTTGAGAGCCAAATGGTTAAGTACACATATGAATTCACTAAATGGGTAAACAAGTACAACATTGACCTAGTTTCTGAAAATGTGTATTGGGTTAATTATATTTTACTCTATTAAATTATGACTCTACTTTGACTTTACTCTCTCGACTATTCATTTGAACATCGTTGCACCTATAACTATTGAAATTCATGACATTTGACAAAATGTGGTAGATTTTGGATCGAAGTTATCGGCACAATTAAATTTTTCAAATCTTTAGGATAGCAAAGACGAGCCCCACTCCATCACTAGGGTAACATTTCCGTGAATTTTGAAAAATATATTTAATTAAAATGTGGCACCATATCCACATCTACACAAACTGCAAATTGGGGTGTTACAACAAAACAGACTAGCACCTTATCCAAAGATTCCAACAACAACCTACTAGTTTTTTCTAAATTTAATTTTTTTTAGGGTAAATTACATTTTGACCCCTCAAACTATGGACTTCATTTCACTTTACCCCTTAAACTATTGAATTTTTCACATTGCCCCTTCAACTACTCAAATTGTTACACATTGCCTCAATCATAAACATGCACTATCTTTTTCGACGAAAATTGCTAATGTATGGGGATAGAGTGAAAAGAATTACGTACTTTGGGGTCAAAAAGAACAAATTCTTGTTAAATATGTAACGGACATTAATAATTAGGGTGATGTGCAACTAATCACATAGTTAAGAGTACAATACGAAAAATATAATAGTTGAGGGAATAATGTAAAAAAAAAAAGTATCATAGTTGAGGGGTCAAAGTGTAACTTACCCATTTTCTTAATAAAAAAGGCCTCATCTATCTGCTCGTGTGATTAACAGAACCTTGTGTTGGAACCTTGAGATATTTGACTTCATTTGATGGATTTTTGAACAGACAGATTTGTGTGTATACAGAACTGGTTTGTCTCCTCCCTACAACCATCCATTATTTGTTGAAGTTATCGACAAACTAGGCACATGCTACCTTGAATTCGTACGTTTGGTGGCTTAATCATAGCTTTTTATGTGATAATTTCTGATTAAAGTTCAATTATTGCAAGGATTATGAAACTTACCCACTATTCATAGTGTCCCATTTAATAATACAAAAATTAAAAATATTAATTAGTAATACTTCTATTCAATTCACCCACAATTATGCTAGATTAGTTCTTAAACATGTTTTTTTTTCTTAGAATACTTAATTTAATCATCTAATTAATCATTATAAATGGATGGTTAGTGAATCCCAACCATAAGCAAATTAATCCCAAATATTATTATCTTTCTTAATGTATCCCAATGTACATCTGAAGCGAATGGACGCGAGATACAAGGAGGGAAAGTGCACACAGTTTTAAGAATATTTCTTTGAAAAAATATTCATCCATTCTTAGTTCATCGTGGTTATCCGCTTATAACAATTAATTTCTATGATTTTAAAAAAAATTGAAAAAAAATCATAAAACCTCACAAATAGATTTGCAAGAAGGATGAAAACTCAGTACATAACAACTGGATCAAACATAAAAACTCACAAAAATAATCTAACCCAACATCTTTGATACCTCATACATATCGAAGCATCCACTTCACAATCAACCAATAAATTTGTAATAGCATAAGGAACACATGACATGTACTTCATCTCTCCCTCAATCTGTAGTGACAACTGTACAAATATCTTGTGATAGATTCAATTATCATACTCATTTGTGCGACAACTGTTCAAATATCGTACCATAAAACAAAACAAACCATATGCTGAAAGGTAAATAAGCTAGTAGCATCATTGATAGCTTGATTAGAAGTTCGAGAAGGGGTCTTTGAAAAAGCTAGCTAAGCTCAATTGTTGTACAAAAATTTAAAGTTGATTTCCATCCTACTCCATTTCATATGGAAACAGAAATCATGTGAACATTTTCTCTGTGTAGATTGGTAGATGAAAGCATCCTAACAAAAACCAAAAAGGTTTGTAGTATGGAGGCATTCCAAGCACAAATCGAAAAATAGAGAACCGAGGAGATTGATATTCGTTATAATGAGAAAAATATTTTTGGAAAAAGTCTAATTGTTAGAGTTAGGCAAATTTAATGGCAGTTTCGTTTTTGTTAACTAAGAGATATCTGGACTTTTTAGAGTAACTGACTAATCCTCGCAAGCACATTCAATCCTGCAATCCATGCATTGAAAAATGATCAGAATAATCTCGGAGTATCGCCAATTGTGTACCCCTTGTGTTTACTTTAAAGGAATCTAGTTGCTAGTGGCAGTTAAGATTGCATGAATAATCAATATAATAATGACCAAAAAAAAAATCTAAGTATAATACAATTCAAATCTCAAAAGATAAATAAAATAATTTTTACAATTCGCGGTTGAAATCTCTTTAAATTTTATTTTAATATTATTCTGACGACTAATATTAACACNCTTAGTTCATCGTGGTTATCCGCTTATAACAATTAATTTCTATGATTTTAAAAAAAATTGAAAAAAAATCATAAAACCTCACAAATAGATTTGCAAGAAGGATGAAAACTCAGTACATAACAACTGGATCAAACATAAAAACTCACAAAAATAATCTAACCCAACATCTTTGATACCTCATACATATCGAAGCATCCACTTCACAATCAACCAATAAATTTGTAATAGCATAAGGAACACATGACATGTACTTCATCTCTCCCTCAATCTGTAG